GAAATTTTCTAGTTGTATTTTCTTTGCTTTCTAGGAAATGCCTAGGTTACCACATAGGGTACTTTAGGCAAGATGTTCTAGTTTTTAGGATTAAGTCTTTAGTCTGCTATAGTTTTAATTTTAGCACATTTTTAGGATTTATTAATATATCTAGTCTATGTTTAGGAAAGGATCCTATTCATTATCTTAGAAGGTCTAGTATCATTAATTTCTTTAGGTTCCATGAAAGGATTCCTTCTAGGATATACCTTTCAGATTTATTTGTTGAAAATATCACCTCTAATGAATTGTATTATATATTTGTAGGTGTGGCTGATCATCATGAAGACCCTCGAGATTTGAGGTCAAATCCTTTTCAAGAGAGAGGGGATGATAGACTACGGCCAAGGCCAAGGAATCCAAGAGGTGATACATTGAAGGAACCAAGAGGAATGGGATGATGGACCATGGGCCAAGAGCCCAATCACTAGAGCTATGGCCACCTTGAAGACTAGTGGGCTTTCCAAGCCCAAGGTACTCTTCAATTTGGACCACTCTATCATGAAGAGAAGACATAGTTCTAGTTGTAAATATCTTGTACATAGTTCTCTTGTATAGGCTTATTTTTGCTTTGTATTTGTGAGACACTTTAGTTTCTTTTATTAGTCATTGTATATTGATTCTAGGGTGGGTTACTTGGAGAGTTTGACTCCATTTAACCTCCTTTGTTGATACACTAATTTTCTATTTTTTCAGTAGTAGAAGTGGGGTGGCATTTAGCAATGCTTGAGGGTGTGACTAGTAATTGGGCCAGAATTGGGCCTAGGAAAAATTTTACATATTGGACTCATTTTGCTCCTAATTTTTCATAGATTTATTTAGCTAGGTCTCTTCATCATTTGATGAACCTAACTAAACAAAATCAAACATTTTTGAAATAATCAAAGTGAGCAAAAGATGAGTTGGCCGCCCACCTTGTCTAGCCTTCTCTTTGGCCGAATTGCTCCACTCACCTTCAAGGAGTTGAGAAGCTTGTGCTACAAGCTTCTCCTTAGCTTGCTTCCCAAGCAAGCTAAGTGAGAAGCTTTCTCCACAAGTTTCTAAACTCACTTGGAAGGTCAACTAACCTTACCATGGTTCCTAGTGAACCATGGTTAAGGTTAACTTGCTCCATAAGCTACCTACTTCTATAAATTTGTAAACTTTTCATTTTCCCTCACTTTGGATGAATGAAATCAGAATTTATAAAAGAATTCTCTCTTCTCAAAGTCTCAAAACCGTGGAGAACAAGTTCTCCCTAGTTCCTTCACAAAAGGTTTCCACCTTTGTGCCTTAGAGCCTCCTCAAGCACAACCTAAAGCGAAACATATAGACTACGAGACACAGACGAAAATTGTCACGCAATCACCTGAGGAATCAACTTTCAAAGGACAATTTGAATATCGTCCACACTCACAAAAGAACACACGAAGTCATCAAAATTGTGAAAAGACAAGAAGAAAGAAGGAAAGTAAGCACAAAACGTCAAATCCTGAGTGTGTTAAAAAAAGTACACCTACTTTTCTGATAAAGATAACGTCTCTGCAACTAATCCCTAGGATTTTGTGAAAGTTAGAATCTGCAGATTCAGAACAATATACGCATTGTTCATAAACAGGAAGTAACATTTAATGCAAGATTAAGTGCATTAAATGAAAGGATCAAACTAGTCATGAACGACTATATCAGCTTCATTCAACGAACATATGCAACGGGTAAATTTTACAGGCCTATAAGTATGCAATAACCATCTTTGCTCCAAATGGGTGCAGACTTGATGCGCTTATCAGCGTTTATGTGATGTGTTAAGAATGAATTATGAATTATTTGCATTATGACAATATGAAATATGTGTCTGTTTGTAAAGTGCTTATTTTATAAATGTTATGTTGCATGTGTGGCGATCTGTCTTTTATCTCGTGCCATGAGTTAGAGTAAAAAGTTTCCCACTCCCTCTTGTTTTCATGTCTTTGTTATTATGTATGTTGTTGCAGGTAATGCTTATCAGGATATTGATGATGTTGGTGACGAGACATAGTGCTTGTGTGGGAATATTTTGATAGGATATGTGACATTAGAGTTTAGAATAGATTACTTTTTATTATGATTACAACAAGTCTCATGTTTAGATTTGAATTTTCGTAATTTGTGATTTTATTTTGAGAGATTGTTATGTGACTTTCTTTACCTTATGTTGGATTTTATATTTGGTTAATTATGCATGGATTAAGTTTTATTTTTATTGTGTTCTTAAATATACATTATACATGTATGTAGAGTATAGAGGGTGTCATAAATAAATTGAAAATAAATAAAAGAAAACATGACTCATCCAAACAAAAAGAAAAAAAATGAAATAAAGATTACCTATGGGTTTAAAATTGTTGGAAAAATAAGAAAGAAAAGGCAGCATAGCAATTAATTAGCAAGATAGTGAAAGACTACCAACTAAGAAAAGCAACCAAGGTCCAAGAAAGTATTTAGAAAAATATTGACAATGTTGAGGTATAAACAAAGTCTCACATTATTAGATCATGAAGAGAAATAAAGGTTTATAAAGCACACATAATCTTCATTGGTATGAGGTCTTTTGGGAGATGAACAAAAGAAAAATCATGAGGGTTTAGACCAAAAGTAGACAATTTTATACCAATGTGGAGACATATGTGTGTAAACCTTAAGTGCCCAACAGTGGTATCAGAGCCAATGGTTGATTAGGCGATCGATTCAAAGTCTTGGATAAGTATTTAACAATGGGAGACGATAGATTCAAGTGTGGGATCTCTTATGTTGAAAGTCTTCCTAGTAGTGCTAAGGTCAAGTTAAAGCTCTAAGGGCCATCATTGAATACTCGTAGATAAAAAAAAATAAAAAAAAAGGTTTCTGCTGAAGGTAGATTAAGCCTTGGTCCTTTGTTTGAGGGGATGTTTATTGGGGTACAAACAAAGTCCTCACATCATTAGATCATGAAGAGAAAGAAAAGTTTATAAAGGACACATAGTCTCCATTGGTATGAGGTCTTTTGAGAGATGATTAAAAGTAAAATCATGAAGACTTAGACCCAAAGTGGATAATATCATACTAATGTGAAGACATGTGTATCTGAACCTCAAATGCCAATAAACAACAATGAAAAAAATCACCCAAAAAGGTTGACAAATGACAAACACTCATATATAATATAAGTAGAAATAATAGAAGTAATGTGATTAAGAAGAGTATTGGCAGAGTGCATGGTTGTTGACAACGAGCACTCTATGCCATTTACTTCAAGACCTTAAAACTCACCATTCCTAGTTGCAATTGCAAGTACCCCACTTCCACTCAGAAAAATCTAACAACATTGGTTTCCCTA